TGATAATAATAAATATATCATTACAACAATTATCAAATATATTATAAAAGTAACTGAACGTTATGTCAACTTTGAACAGAGAATAAGAAATAGTTGAACACAATATAAATTAATTAGAAAAAATAAAAATGCTAACTAATATCGATTTTTATTCTTGTTATACTATAAATCTATGAATTATGTACTACATAGTTTAGTTACAAAGTGTCTTTCATTAAAGTAAAGTTTAATAATATTTTTATCAAGAAAGTCAAATTTTAAAAAGAAAGAAAAACTTATAAACTGAAATATAATGATAAAAATTAAGAACGATGACGAACATTAGAAAATTTAAATGCAAAGACATTGCCAAATAAATGGATACTTATTGCTAAATATATCTTTTATATTTGATATATTTATAATAATAATATAGTAATTACAACGATTATTATAAGAGATTAATATAATTTACAGTAAAATTTTAAGTATGAATAATAACAAATAAAATCCAGTTAACAAAAAGTAATATATTATACAATACATCAACTTTGAACAGAGCTATAAAAATTATTTTATGAAATAACTTTTTCTATATAAACTATTTTCAATATCTTAAACTTTATTTTTAATCTTTATGAAACAGATATATAATTACATGAATGATATACGAGAATGTAACATAAAGAAAGATACAATTTATTTAACAACAATAACGACAACATAATAATATATTGATTTATTTTATAAATATATTATTTATATTTGGTTAATTTGTATATAATTGTTTTACAGTCTTAAATTTTATTTTTTTATAATTAGTTCATTATTTTTTTAAAAAAACATGATACTTAACCCTTTTAATGTTGACAAAATTTTGATTTTAAAATACATGATACTTAACCCTTTTAATGTTGTATATATATTTTGGAATATTTACACACACATGTGTGTGTTACTATATCCATTCAAACCCCTATGACATGATTTAAATTTAATGAATATATTATAATGATTACATATATAGGGTAAGCAATTAACATTGTACAGGAAAGAGTAAAGATTTCACTCATAATTTTTTTGTGACATCCTTTGACAATTGTGCAAGATGTAAGTTATTTTAGTACCATATAAATTAGATAATCATATATTGTGATCTTTGAAGAAACAATAGACTTTCATTTATATATATAACTACAATTTTTTCAAACACATATGACATGATTTAACTTATTTAATTATATTGTATAGATTAAGTCTAAATAGTGTATGCATAATGCAACTAATATACTTGGAAGTGTAAGGATTCACTCAGAATTTTTTATGACATCTTCTGACTACTGTGCAAGTTTAAACAATGTGAGTTCCAAATAATTTAGATAATCATATGTTGATCTCTTTGAAAATATGGACTTTCAATAAACATTAAGAGGTTATAATGTGTATGAATTAATATTCTTAGAGAAAATATATTAAAAATAAGTAAAAGTAACTATATATCCATACTTTAAGAGTATTTATATGTATATAATCTGAAATTAGTAAAAAATAAAAAAGTAATCAAAACCAGAAATCTATCCTAAAATCACATTATATTGTTTTATGAATGAGACTATAACAACTATTTTAGTTTTTGGTTATGTATTCTGAGCAATGTTTTAAAAATCGTACCGGTCGTCATACCGGTGTAGCGACCGGTATGCGGTATTACTGGTACGACCGGTATTACCGTCTATTTTACCGGTTTTAATAAATATTAAATTAATTTGTTATTATTATATAAATAACATACAAAACTAACTTTAATTAATATTAAAATAAATTAACATCTAATAACAATATAAACATATTAAAGTTAAGTGTAGAAATTTCAATTTATATAAATAAAATAATAAAAATCTATTAAAAATATTTTTTTTAAAAAAAATGGCATAAACTGGTATTTTGACCGGTATTTTGGCCGGTATTTGCCGGTAAAACCGGTATTTTCCGGTACGAAACCGGTATTTTGGCCAAAACGGTATTTTGAGTATAAATGTACCGGTTGGACCACCGGTATCCGGTATTACCGGTAATACCGGCCGGTACGAACCGGTATTTAAAACATGGATTCTGAGCAATGGTCTGGACTGACTATTAGGATTTTTTTTATAGGCTTGATAAAATCATAGAAAATAACATCGCATTATATGACATAGTTAAAATTTTGTTCACGCTTATATGTGTATATATGTGTGTGTGTGTGTGTGTGTATATATATATAATTTGATCATATAGTATTATGGTCCATCTACATCAAGTATTGGAGGAAATTTTTAAGGTTTATAGTTATGAACTTCAGATTATACATAAGAGTCCACCACACATTAATTGGTCGATATTCTACACAAGTTATTCAATTACAATTTTGTGAGCATTAAATGTGACTTGAAGATCAAAACTATCGTCCATTCACTTCATTGTATATGATATGACACTTTTAATTTAATCAATTTATTTCTTAATTGAAAATCAAAATATAATTTACCAAAAAAAAAATATTTTCAATCTTTTTAAATTGTTGTTTTAAGATTATTGAAATCTAAATAAGATTGTGCACCATATTTTTGTAATGGCTCATGAATCATATAAAATAATATTTGAACAGAAAGAAAAAACCGACCAAAATTGAATTTTAATATAAATTTAGAACTCTTGAAAATAACTATAAATAATTAGATTAAGTGACAAAAAATTCAAATGAAAATTATGTCACTGCCAAAAGGGAAGGTAATATGAATAATATTTAAAAACTTTGCTAAAATATATGAATTGAATCATAATTGATTTAATTAGCCAATAAAAATAAGATAATGAATGGTCGTCTACAGGATAAGAAGACAAATGTAAACTATCGTATGCAATTGTTTTACTGTGCGTAATTTTTAAACTTTCCCAAATAATTGTTTTTGGAATAAAAAAGACTAACTTAGATAATGAATGTTTGTCAGCCAATTTTTTCATGCAACTTTTTTTACCATGAATTTTAAATATTAATATTTTGAAATTTGTTTTTCAACTTTCAATAAACTTGACGCAATTGATCATGTAATGTACTTTTTTGTTTGATTAATTTAAAATAATAATGCAAAAAACTTGAACCGGCCATAAAATATATAACATAAAATCCTCCCTATATAATTCCCGAATGTGTTGAGCCTACGTGGCTGCTTCTGGTGCTTCGGAATCCTATTTGGCGAAGAATCATGCTTCGTAATTATCTTTAGACAAATAAAAATGATATATTAATAATTAATAATCTAGGTTGGGGTTTCCATAAATATTATTTAGCTAACTTGGATATTTTAATATCACTTTTACTAATATAACCCTTTAATTCTTTGTAATTTTACATAGTGAGACACTAAGTTACTAATATATCCCTGAATTTTGATTTGTTTCCTTCAATTAATAAGCTATTGAATTATAAATGTATTTTAAAAGTTGATAACATTTGTATTTCTTATAAGGTTTTACATATATAATATATCAAATTAATCACCGTTTGATAATCTTCGATTTGACATCCATATTATATATATATGAAATAAATAAATTATATTTATTAAAATTCATTAGAAAAATAAAATTATTTCTCAATTGATATATTTATATGTAATGTAGTTATATATTGTAAGTTAAAAAAATAATATAATATAACACAAATAAGTCGCACAAATAAAAAGTGTCATAATAAATATATAATATATATATATATTCTTATAAAAGGTATTTAAATTTCCAAACTACTTTTTCTCATTAATTTTAGATTTTAAGAAAAAAATTAGCAAGCACCCGTATAATACACGGGTGTTGTACTAATATAATTAAAAATCACATTAAAATAAAAATTAGGTATCACGTGCATTGCACGTGCACTTTCCTAGTAAATTAAAAAAATGTAATCAACATGGTGAAAGCCAGGAAAAGCAGCAACATCAATGCCCACGTCCACAGAACCTGATCGAAAATCATTCATACATACAGCCAACTTAAAAACATTATTTTTGTAGTCTTCATGTAACTTTCACATACCAAGTGATTATTATTTTGATACTGAAAAGAGTCCAAAAAAAGGATTCTTCAAAGCATTGTTTAGCTCTAAGGCAGCCAACTTTAATGTTCCCACATTGACCTTTTGTCGAGGAAGGAACAAGAAGTTACCTCCCTCGACTTTCTCAAACCCACATAACTCAAGAAACATGATACCTTCCCCAAATTTGCCGATTCTATCCTGTTCACAGAAAGTAAGCGAATGAAAAAAAACTTAAAAGGATTGGAAAGGCACGACAGAAATGACTCCTTAAAGATGGAAATAAACACAGCTTGGGTTTGTATATAGATCCAACAGATAAGTTCGTGACGTGCACATTTGTAAAACAAACAAATGCACTCTGTTGGTAACTGAGGCAAACTTCAGAAACTGTGATTTTTGACATGTCTCATAATAGATGACATTAACACATGTAGCCTGTCTGATGCATGGAAACATCAATTCATCTGAAAGCCGGGTACACTAGAAAAATCTATTGAAACAAAGTCATAAGAAATAAAATAAAAAATAATACACCAAGCAGATCATGTTGATATTTCATGGAAGATGATGGACTGAATAAAAAACTCAACATATTCCCTATAGTGCGTTCAGAAACACCTAACCTGAAAAACTGGATTGTTGATCCGGATCTTCCGAAACTTCTCTTCATTGGGATTGTTAATAACATTTCTCACATAAATCAAGAGAGTCTCGAATGCCCTACTTGCTCCTGAACTCTCCTCCTAGTACATCAGATGCCATGATCAGGAACAGTGAAAGTTGAAATACCTTGTACCCTTATGGTGTTTCTAGAAAGTGAATCGCGGAAATTAATCATGAAGTTTGGTCTAATTACGATAGGTTATAGTATCTCTCAGATGGATAAAGACTACTTAATGTATAAATAAACATTTATTGAGGTTTTGCATTTGCGGGGCAAACGCCTCGTGTTGGTAAATTAGAAGCTAGTATCATAAGGACAGCAAAGGCTCTCTTGGCCTTCATACTTCAGAAATAAGCCATCTTGAAGCTGCAGTTTTTAGAATAACAATGCTAGTTTGGGTTTTATGAGATTTGAAAGATATATTTTTTTTCTAAGATCATCTCCAATGCATTGGGTCTAGTTTTGCCTATGTGGCATGTAAATAAACCTAAGTTTTAGATGAAATGGATAAAATTATATCAAATTAACAAAATTCACTCCAATGCAAAGAGGCTAAGTCTCTATTGGTATCTACAATAGACTTAAGAGTAAACCGGGTATTTTTTTCTTGTGGACACATCAGTAGGGCCAAGTCCACTTGCATTTGCATTGGGGAGTATAATTATTCAAGAATTAAGTTTATTTCCTAAGTGGCATATAAAATTTTTTGAATGAATCCAGAGCATTGTGGATACTCTAACAGACCACTATAAAGTTTTTTTTGGTAATCAACACCATTGAACGTAAAGTCCAAACAATTTATAACTTTAAATGGACGATCAATGCAAAAGCTACCTTGTTTCGACGTTTAAGATATCTTAAACATTCACTCATATCATCTCTTAGTGCAGAAGATTTTACACGTAAAAAATCTGAATCAAGAAGCTGCAAGTTCTGCACTAAATCCAGAAATATGTAAGTCACATGTTCTGCAAATAAACAGTTGTGTAAATTATCAGTGCCAAAGATTATTACCTCCGTTCTTTCTGCCAATGCAATATCAGGTTTTGCGGGTGCGGGAAATTCCCTAGGCGACCCAAGGATGCCTTGTCTTTCTAACTATACGGGCCCAAAAATAGAGTAAAATTGAAATGAAGGAGTGATTGGTTGCTGTGATTCTTTTCTTTTATTTATTTTTTTCTTTTTTTTTTTTGGTTTTGTTTTGTCTCTGCATGCGACCGCTTAATCTGTCATTCTGCTCCTCTTTTCTTGAGAAATATAGTTTAAAGTTTTTGTTTGGAGAGATTGGAATTATACTGGAAGTGTGACTTGTGAGTGTACACAGGTTGATGATACGATCATGCAATAATTTTCTTTCAATTAAAATACTCATTCAAATGTGACTGGGAATTGGATAACTAAGAAAGAGAATAGAAGTGATATAATTGTGCATGGGAGAAAATTGCGATAAAAAATAAAAAAATAAAGGGCTGTATTTGCAATTTGTGTGACCAATTTTTGCAACTCATCCAATCCTGAGACTAATTTTGCAATTTTCTCTTATGTTTCGATAATAGTTGATGTGATGAAACTATGTTAGAATACTATTTCAAACGAGTGACCATTTAAAATGCAACAATGAGAAGAGTGTCGTTCTAACAAGGTTCGGGATGATGCTTCTAGTTCTCACTAGGTTTGGGAAAATCAATATAATTTCTAGAGTCCATAAATTCTGGACATTGTCATGATTAAAATTCATCTCTACCTTATCTTGCTGCAATTTCTGGCGAACTCTATCCCTTGCTCTTTTCTCGTCCTCTTTCCCTGCTTTCCTTTGGGCCAAGAGCCTGAGACTCCATCGATGAAAGAGTGACATGAACACAATACAAACAACAAAGAAAAAAATCACCTGAAGTGAATAAATGTATCCAAATACCATGTCTAACCATTTTCGTTCTCTTTCTTCCGCAATTCGTTTAGCCTCTAACAACTCTTTACCAGCCCGAATCCTATCCTAAAAGTAGATGACATATTTAGTGATAAAATATCAGATACATTAACACATATAAGTCATGGAACCAAATATCTTGACAATATAAGACTCGATAAATAGCACAATATATAACCATATATCAGTCATAAGTTATGCTCATAATTTCCATAAGCTCACACTAGCAGTGCATAACATAAACTTATTTCTCCCCAATATTTCAAAGAACACTTTGAAGAATACGGCTACTCGATTGAGACAAATAATTCATGGTAGAAAATTGAGTTATTCTCTTCCAGAATCCATGAACTGATTAAGTTATAAGAATTCTCAACTGTCTGGAAATGGATCTTTCCCATTTTCTTTTTGAACCGTATGCATCAAAAGTTGTGCGCCATTCTAACCTATCTTGGGGGATTCCATCCACAAACAGTGTCATTATGTATCGGAAAACGACAGTGGAAGTGTCATTATGTATCATTATGTATCTTGGGGGATTCCATCCACAAACAGTGTCATTATGTATCTTGGGGGATTCCATCCACAAACAGTGTCATTCATGGTAGAAAATTGAGTTATTTTTTTTTTAAACATTATTGTAGTTGGTACATATTGACAAGAAATTGCAGATGTATATGAAGCTAACAACTTCTATGAAGCTACAGTACCTTCTCATTTTCTCTTTCTTGTTTCTTCTCTTGCTCCGCTTTCTTGTTAAGCGCTCGATTCCTAAATTTGCTCAGATTCCGAATATGTGGATACACCAAAAAAAAAAAGGGAACCACCTTCTTTCAGTTGGAAAGTAAATGAAGATATTTCGAGATGAAGATTATTTAAAAAGAAAGCTTCAACATACAGACTACAGAAAGCAGACCTCAGAACTCGTGCGCTCAGCTTAACTTGTTCAGAAATGTGGAAGGGTTTTGATGTTTCGACAGTGATGTCGACTGTCGCCTGAGATTGCTGTTGCATAAGCAGTAGAGTTTCGAAAGTTAAAACAACGAAACAGCATAAAACAAAGATCAGTCAATAGAAAAAAGTATATATGACAGGACGAGGAAGACGACCTAATTAAGGCCATACTTAACTAAAACATAAACTATTAGCTACCTCAGGTGGTTCAGTAACAATTGTATCAATATCATGATCAACAAGCCAGTTTATTGCATCCTCAATGCTTGAATTACCTAAACAAGTCTTTTATCAAGCCAGTTAATCACAAATTTCATTTAAAGAGATATTTTTATCAATATTTCATATACACCACCAAGCACTTCAAACCAGTTTTACCAGAAGAAGAAAGAGCCTTTGCAGCGAGAGCCTCGGGAAATCCCATAGCTTCAAGTTCGCCGAGCAATCTCTGCTTGTCTACTTCCATCAACACCACTGATAAACAAACACAATGAAATCACTCATAAAAGAAAATATGGAAGAATAAAAACAGGAAAACAGTATATTAAGAAGTATGATTGAATAAGATGACGAGTGAATGTTGGGTTATTCGAGTCCCCCATTGGAAGTTCACAGAGAATGCTGATTCCTTGCTTAATTTACTTTTCTTTTTTTTTTCTCAAACGGATAAATTTTATTACTCAGAAACAAAACAACTGTTTTACAATCGGGCACTTCAACTGAAGCAAATACCAAAAGGGGGATGTGAATATACAATTCCATCCCCTACTTAACCAAAACCAAAACAAAATAACCAGCTACCCAAACTAGATAAAATATTTACAACCAAAATAAAGATCAAACCATTTACAACTCCACACTAACCACTGCATATACTGAGCCTGCCTTCTAATTGAGTGCAGCAATTCTTACATCCAAGACAAGAAGGGGCACTGACAATAGCAAGATTGACCTACCATACTTCTTATCTTGTATGCTCAATTCTGCATGGAATTCAAGGCTTGTGCATCTGCAAATTCCTGCCAGTCCTGACGTGCTTTATCTGCAATTTCTTTATCCTCCACCCATTGCTTCTTGAATATCCAAATATTGCGTGTCTTCCACAGCCACCAAAGGATGTAGGTTGATAATTCTATTATGTCCTTCAAGCAGCTGCCTTTGTCAATCAAACAAATCTCTCTCCACCATAATTGAAATGAGTGTTCCATTCTCTTTAGCCCTTCCCATTGAACTCCAGCCAGTTTCCACACCCTTTGAGCTCTGCTGCAATTAAAGAAAATGTGTTCAAGGTCTTCATCCATTTCCCCACATACACTGCATATACTGTCTTCAAGCATTCCCCTTCTTCTGATCTGGTCTTTAGTAGCCAAGAACCTGTGCCAACATCTCCATAGAAACATCTTTATTTTATTCTTGACATTGAGACTCCATGTTTTCCTCCACATCTTTTTCATAATTTTAAGATTTTTACTGGAACATGGGATTCCAGTATTATTCTCTATCTTCTCTTCTAGCAGCTTGTATGCAGATTTAACTGTAAATTTGCCATTAGAATTAGGAACCCACACTGCTCTATCTTTAGACCCTCTTTTGGGAGAGGGGAGCTGCAGGATTTGTCTAGCATCATTAGGGTGAAATGTTTGCTCTATAAGTTCTCTGTCCCATCCCTCACCCTCTTCTTTCTGAAGCTCATTAACTGTTTTAAGGACTCCTCTATCTCTCTCAAACAGACACAAAGGTTTAAAGGAAGAGTTTTTAGGTAACCAAGGAGACTCCCAAATGGATATGGTACACCCATCCCCCACTTTATACATCAACCCCAATTTAAGAACATGTCTGACACTCAACCAGGACTTCCACAACCAGGAATCTGAGCTCCTAGGACAAACCTCCATCAAATTTTGGTTGTGGAAGTATCTACCCTTCAGAACCTTACTGATCAAAAGATTTGGTTTGGTAATAATTCTCCAAAGCTGTTTTACTAGCAATGCCTCATTGAATAAGGTAAGATTTTTGAATCCCAGCCCCCCACAATCCTTAGACTTAGTGAGATTTTCCCAACTGCCCCAGTGAATCTTCTTTTTTCCCCCCTCATTTGATCCCCACCAAAAATCAGCAACAGTTCTACAAATATCCTGACACACCCCTTTAGGAAGTTTAAAACAAGACATAACATAAGTGGGTAAGGCATTGAGCACAGTTTTAATCAAAACATCCCTCCCAGCTTCACTAAGAAAGTGATTTTTCCAATTTGAAACTCTAGATATGACTCTATCTGACACAAATCTGAAGGTTTCAATTTTGGACCTACCAATACCTAATGGAAGCCCTAAGTAATTAGAAGACTTAACTACTACAATCCCATTAAAATAATAACAGATCTCATCTTTAACCTCATCCAGTGCATTTTTGGAAAAAAGGATTGAAGACTTACTGAGGTTAATGATTTGACCAGAAGCTTGACCAAAATTATTTAAAATAGAGGAAAGGGCTTTAGCATTAGACACTGAGGCTTTACAAAAAAAGATGGAATCATCTGCAAAAAATAGATGAGTAACTGCAGGAGAGAATTTACCTATTTTAATACCTTGAAAGCTGTTATTAGCACAAGCTTGGTTGATCAGGTTAGTTAGGGCTTCACTCAAAATAATAAAAAGGTAGGGTGACAAAGGGTCTCCCTGCCTAAGCCCTCTAGAAGGCTTCACAAAACCAGTAGGCTGGCCATTAATATTGAAAGAAAAGGAAGATGAATTCAAGCAAGCAAAAATCCAAGAGACAAAAATAGAGCTAAAGCCCATTTTCAGAAGGATTTGCATAAGGAAATTCCATTCTACTCGATCATAAGCCTTAGCCATATCAATTTTTAAAGCCATATAAGCCTCTTTCCCTTTTTTCTTACTATTCAAAAAGTGAATAACCTCATTAGCTATTACTGCATTATCCAATATCTGTCTGTCTGGGACAAAAGCAGATTGGTTTGGGGAAATACAAAGGTTTAGGATATTTTTTAGTCTATTGGCTAATATCTTAGAGATTATCTTATAAGTAACTGTACATAGGCTTATAGGTCTGTAATCAGTGATAAAGGATGGGTGCTGAACTTTAGGAATGAGAGTAATCACAGTGTGGTTGGTTTTTTGGGGGATAGCACGGTTTTGGAAAAATTTTTGAATGGCTGAACATAGATCATTTTTTACAATAGACCAGCAAGATTGAAAAAGGAGAGGGGTCATACCATCTATACCAGGTGCTTTGTGGGGGTTCATCTCCATCAAGGCTCTTCTGATTTCTTCCTCATGAACTGTTGAAATTAGGGCTTGATTTAGATCTTCAGTTATTACTGTCTGCATGCCCTCCAAACTGCATTGCTCTATTCTTGGACATGAAGAATTGAACAAGTTGCTGAAATAATCTTCTACTTCTGTAATAATCTCTTTTTCATTTTGACAGACCCCACCATCTCTTTTGACCAGTCTTTCAATACAATTCTTCTTTCTTTTTTGATTTACACAGGCATGAAAGTACCTGGTATTTTTGTCTCCCAATTTCAGCCACTGGATCCTTGCTTTCTGTTTCCAATACATTTCCTCATCATGGTAAGCCTGGTGTAGTTTTTTCTGCAGCTCAACCCACTCCTTCCAATCTTTGTCACCTCCAAGTTCTCTCAGCACATTCAGTCTTGAGTTGTAGGTTTCAATAAGTATAGCTGAGTTTGTCACAAACTTGGTCTTCCATCCCAGCAGAGCCATCCTGATGTTTCTGATTTTATTTTGAATCTTGTACAACCCCACTCCATTTGCCTTCTGTGTCCAAGCCTCAGCTATGACTTCTTTGAACCCTTCCATTCTAATCCATCTAGCATCCAGATAAAACCTTTTTTTCCACTTCCTGCTTTCTTTTTCAGTGTTGAGTAAGAGCAGACAATGGTCAGAGGAAATAAGATGCACATGATGAACAGTAGACTGGGGGAAGGTTTGGGCCCATTCTGGTGACAATAACACCCTATCTAGCCTCTCTTCAACATAGCCCTCATTAAGCCTATTATTAGCCCATGTATAAGGGTAACCCACAAACCCAGCATCTACTACTTGAAGAGTTGCTATAAATTCTCTGAACTTCCTAAAGCTTCCCTCAGTCCTCTCTCTTCCTCCCCTCTTCTCTTCTCTTCCCACAATATCATTAAAGTCCCCTCCCAAAAACCAACACTCCCCCCACCTTAAGCTATGTCTCACTAGGACTTCCCATTGTCTAGCTCTGACATTAGAGTCATTACTAGCATAGACAAAAATACCCCAAAACCTCCTAGTGGAACCAGCCATTTCAAAACACACTTCAATACAAAAGGAATCACTAATAATATCAATAATTTTAATATCTGTGGACCAGTCCAAAAATAGGCCTCCTTGAAGACCTACTGGATCCACAGTAATCCACCTATCCTCTAGCTTAAGCTTTTTACAGACTGTATTAACAAAACTTTTCTTCTTTTTTGTTTCAGACAGGAATACAAAATTTGGGAGATGGGATTTTAAAATCACCTTGAGCTGGGAAATTGTAGAGGGCCCTCCCAGACCTCTACAATTCCACACACATATCTTCATTTGGACATGTGGGACCATTTCTGGCTGGTCTCCTCCACCATTGATTCAGACTGATTCTTCTGCATTTCCTTATCAGGTGACATTTTGGCTTTTTTATTATTAGCATTGGTTAACTCAATCTCTTCTACCTCATTATTAGGTTTTCTTTTTTTCTCCTCAACATTAACTGGTTCTTTATCTGAGCACTCATTCATAGCTACCTTCCCTTTTAGTCTCCTAGGTTCACTAATTTTAGGTTTCTTAAGCCCAGTTATTTTGCCTGTTGTGCTTTGAATACCCTGCATAAGTCTATTAGCTACAGATTGAACTGGTATTGCTACCAAATTGTCAAGACACATTAAATCAGGTTGACTCTTCCCAAATCCCTCTTGGGACTGAGTAGAGTTATTTGCCTCTGGTTCCACTATTCCTTGGTTAGGAGCCTTGACACCTCCCTTCTCCTTACTATTGCTCTCAGATTCATTACTAACATCAACCCTTTCTCTATCTAGACTTCCCTCTCTATTAATTCCTACACTGCCCTCACCCTTCTCACTCATAGGATTTGTAGTATTATTCTCATCCCCCCCTTTTTCTTTCCCCACCTTAGGGCTCCACCTATCTCCTAAACTAGCAATTCTCATCCCTATTCCATTCCCAGGAACAGCTCTTAACCATTCCCCATATTGTCCACTACTCAACTTCATGCATCTCACATCCTCTTTCTTTTTTTCACAGTTCAAGTCTGCATGTCCTATCAACCCGCAGTAGTAGCAGAATGTCTGAAGATTTTCATACCTGAAGGTTATCCACTTAGCTTCTGATCCCAGATTAATGCGAGTTCCTCTGATGATGGGTTCCTTCAGATTTATTTCCACCAAAATCTTGATAATCCTTCCACCCATTTCTCCTGTTTCTGGAATGCGTACATCAAGTACCTTTTCAAAGAGTTTGCCAATTTTGATTCCAGTCTCCTCTGACACCCAGTGTAGCGGCAGATTCATGATTTGCACCCATAGTTGGACTTTGTCTTCATCCTCCGGGAATCCTCTGGTATACGGGTTCCACTCCTTCAACAAGAGGTACTGCCCATCAAAGGACCACGCTTTGCCTCCCAATATTTTCTTTTTGTCATCTTCTGATTGGAAAACGAACTGAAACTTGTTGTCTCCGAGATTCCGAGTTTGGAATGGCCACTGTGTATGCCAAATGTTCTGCAAAATAGTCTTTAAGCCCATAACATTTGCCTTTTTGCTTCCGTAAATTTTCCCCAGCAAACTGAGTTCACACTCTCTTTTCCCCAGGTGAATATCTTCTTCCGTAATAGAGATTCCCCCTTCTTCCCTGTCCGACAATTTGAATTTTTGGAGTCTACTTGCCAGATCTTGATCCATCCTCTGCATCTGATTGCAGTCAGCACTTAATCAAATCAAGCCCTAATTTCACGTTCAGGATGAAATCGTGAGCCTGTTTAGAAGAGAACACACAAAGACCCAGATTAGATTTAGTACAAAAGGAAGAAAACCACAGAACCCTAACTCTATTACCCCAGCCCTAACATCAGGGAAAGAGGCTGTTGGCCACGATCAAGTTAGAGTAGATAATCCTTACACTGGATCAATAACAGATAGATGATGAAGAACGAAAGATCAACGAAAGATCAACAACTGAAAGAAAATAATGCACTGGATGATAGCTGAAGACGAAAATCCCACTGGGGAACCGAAGACTCTAGAGAGAGAAAGAGACTCTAAGAAGAGACTGTTTTTTGCTTAATTTACTTTTCAGCCGAGGAATATTTTCACGGATGAGACGACGGCTCCAATATTGGCAAAATTGTATTTTTAGTAGGTGTAATAAGATTTCACTTTCCCTAATTAATTTCACAACACAGTTTCATTTTGTCCATTTTTATTATCTAAATTACTAAACACCGCCCTTTGTTACTACTTGCCGCCCCCTAAAGACAACTTTCCACTTTACTTTTTTTTTTAAAAAAAAAAAGAAAAAAAATGGGCCTTCCGACCTATTTATCGGCCGAACCGAGCTCCGAAAAATCCGAAAAGACCTTTGAATAATTCCGGCTATAAAATTTCATTCAACAAGACCAGTAATGCGGCGGCCGGCTAGTCAAACCAGCCGGACTAGAGTCAGCCGACTGGACTTTTTCAGCTGAGCCTGTGTTGGCCGCATTCGGCGGCCGGCCGACCATACCTGGCCGAAAAGACCAGCCGCAATCGCCGGTCGGCCGGCTCCAGTCTAACCTGTTTGACCGCCCGGCCTGCCGACTTTTTTTGTTTGCGCTTTTTTTAATTAAAAAAACTTTAAAATATTATAAATTATATTATAAAAATTTCTATATATTAATATATATTTTATAATAAATTAAAAATAAATAACTAAAATATATTAATAAAATATATATTTTAATTATTTATTTTTTTTGCGGTTTCTATATCCTTATAAAATATATTAATAATATATATATATATATATATTAATTTGTAAGTAATATATAATATATATTAAATTAATATGTATTAAATTATATATGTATATGAACTATTTGTACATATAAATTACTTTGTAATTATTTTTAATGTTGCTTTGTTAATCTTTATTAATTAGAAAATGTTGATATATTAAAAACATATTTAAATAACTTTATATATATTATTATATATTTTATAATAAATTAAAAAATTTATAATTATGTTTGATTAATAATTAAAATATAGAAATAATTTAAATTAATAAATATTAAATTATATATATTAATAATTCCATATATATTATTATACATTCCTATATATGAATATATATTATTATAGATTAATAATATATACTAATATAATTTATATTATTATTCATATATATTATTATATATTTTATAATAATTAAAAAAAATTAGAATTATGTTTGATTAATAATTAAAATATAGTAATAATTTAAATTAATAAATATTAAATTATATATATTAATAATTCCGTATATATGATTATACATTCATATATATGAATATATATTAATATAGATTAATAATATAATTTTTTATATACTAATATAATTTATACTAATATACTTTTTTTTATTATAATTAATTATCTTTTATACTGTCATAATTTATGATAGTTATACTAATATGATATATATAATATAATGTGTTAATTTTATTATTATATATTAATATAAATTAATATATAATAAATTATAATATTTAAAATTATATTTACATTAATATATAAATTTATATTAATATATATTAATAAAATAATATAAAATTAATATATTATATTATTTATATTATATTAGTATACTATTATAAATTATGTTAGTATAAAATATAATTAATTATAATGAAAAAAAGTATATTAGTATGAATTATATTAGTATATAAAAGTAATATTATTAATTAGTTTAAATATTATAAATTATAATAGAATAAGATATAATTATTTATAATAGAAAAAAATTATATTAGTATAAATTATTATGTTATAGATTAGAATTGATTATCTTATAAAATAAAATTTATTTATATTATGTTCGACGTTGGAAACTATTTTGTTATAGATTAAGATAGATTATCTTATGAAGTAGAATGTATTAATAAGTTAGAAATTATTGTGTTATAGATTAGTATTGATTATCTTATGAAGTATAATTTATTGATATTATGTTAGAAGTTGAAAGCTATTTTGTTATAGATTAGAACAGATTATTTATGAAGTAGAATTTATTGATATTATGTTAGAAGTTAGAATTTATTATATAATAAATTACAAATTATTAGTATTATGTTAGAAATTATAATTGATTATTTTGTAAAATTAATAACATACATCGTAATATATTGCAGGTGCCACTCGAAGATTTTGGACGAGACGGTGTTGATTACATATCTGCTTTCACTCCAGATGACCTTTTGATAGTTGTGAAGAAACTGTTAATGGACAAAAGATAGAAATTATATGGGGTTTCGAATCGGTCATCTCGAAACAAGAAAAATAAGAAAAACAGAAGGGGTTGAGGTGTCATCGAGGGGAACGTTACAGAGACAGTGTTGTAGGAGATTTAGTTAATGATGTTTTGAGACGTTCGATCGGATAAGATGGGACGGGGGTGTTTGTAACAAGGAGCACTGGATGGAAGTTATTAATGTAGTTGTCGTGTTGTTAGGTTGTGTGTGGTCCTAGAAATAACAATATCGACCATTTTAGTACGACAATATTGCCGCTTCATGCACCATTCATAGCTACACGACCTGAACGCGAGATTGCATAGGTCATCTTGGTTCTTACAAATACTTCATTCGTCTGAATCAGTCTTCCAAGTTTCCATTACCGCCTATTTGTCATATTCGACTTATGTTTGTGATTGATGGCATTCATTATATTATTGATATATTATGATATTCGGCCGTGTTTATACGTTAATTTCGAGTTAGTTTTGTTATGAACTTGCTGAGGATAAAATGAACTAACAACAAATACAGTTGAAAAAATGATATTAGTATAATTAGTATAAATTATATATCTCTACAATACATATAACCCAACAACATTGGGCATTTGTGGTGTTGACACGTGTCTTTTTCTTCCCAAAATGACCTTGCTTGGACACTTTATTTACTTATTTGCCATCGACTGTTTTAAGCCCTTCATTTACTCCTTACCGCAAATCCAGCTGAGAGGCCATGTACAGCTGTGAGACAATTAAAAAGATACATCACATTTTCATTTTAAGTGACCAAAGTGTCCTTATACTCTATTCCTTGTAATACAATGGATGCGGGCTACTTTAGTCAATTACTTAATAACTTTTTTTTCTATTTACCAAAGTACCAATCTTCCTGTCAAAAGTCAAAATAATACTGACTGCTTTTTCTGAGCTTTGCACGTCTTCATCTTTACTCTATGATACGGTAGCCACTTTTCCAGCATTTTCGCACACGCCACCGACTGAAAGGCTGAAAGAGATTGAAAGAACGAGATTTTTCGTTCTTCTCTCCAATGTCAAACCATTACCCTGCACTCTCCTATTTCATCTGATTGTCTCTCGACCTCCCGCTAGACTTTTCTGGCGATTTTCAGGGTGTGCTTCGGGGACTTTGAAATCCTGCTCTCGGGGATCGATTTTGCAATCCGACGGTGAGATTCAACTGCATATTGAATCTATTTTCAATTCCAGGTATGTTTTGAGAAATTCTCTCGAAGATGGGTTCTTTCCCAGCGAATTAGGGCGGGTTCGAGGCGGTCAAGCCGTGGGAAGGGGAGAGGATTCATGAGGTGGGGATGGATGACCTCGAGCTCAAGCTCGGAAGTGGTAACCTTAGAGCTTGAACTACTTTGTGCTTTTTTTCTTGAAACTTATGTTCGGGCAGAGTATCGGAAAAATCGGAGAGGGAGTTTTGGTCGATCGGATAATTGGGTTATCGAGTCGAATATATATTTATTCAGTTGCTTCTCTCTCTCTCTCTCTATCTCTCTCTCTCTCTCTCTCTCTCTCTC